GCATTCGGAGTGTTTCAGATCAATGGCTCTTGCGCTACCCTTTCTCTGTGTCCTGTGCAGTGCCCCAGGAAGCACGGTCAGAATCTATTTCATGGGGACATCATGGCCTCTAATATTAAGTACAGGATAAAAGTTGCACTGTTAATGCTTTTGTCTTAGCCTTGTGTGTTGCCCTCAGCTCAGCTACAATTGGAGTTAATGGGATTTTTATTCAAGCCATAAATCTGACCTCAGAAACTTCCTATGTGTGTGGGCTTTTGGGCTTCTTGGCCTGCTTCACTCAGTGTCATTGTAGTAGTGGTTAATAGTCAAATATTAGCTGCATTTGAAGACAAAGATAGCAAATTCTGCTATATATCAGTTTGGGAAATGAATCTGCTCATAGCTGAAAATGATCAAATACAAGAGTGTGAAGTGGGGTTCCTTGTGCTACTAGTTAGAGGGTATTGTTCACCATTTCCATCTTTTCTCTCCCTAATGGATTTTTGAAGTAAGAGAAAAGACTAAAGAAATGGTGGGAAAACACAGGAGGGGTCCAAATGGAATATGATGACATCTCCACACAGAGAGAGACAAATTGCCTGAATGAGGCAGGATGATGGTGCAGTAAAAGACTTCTGTGGAAGTACCCCAAGTATCTTGCATCCTTAGCAATTGCACTGTTGGCTTTTCCTTCCACTGTATCTCTGGATCAAGACTGTTATCTGCTGGATAACTTGGAAAAAACGGAGCTAGTAGCAATGCTCCTACAAAATGTCTGGGTGTCTGGTTTGTTTTCCTTGTTGAAATGGTGACTGGAGATTAGGAAGGAAGTTGCTAACTGCTGGTGGGGCTGTATATTATGGCAATGTGGTCCCAAGAGAGACTTGGTTGCTTGATTTTAAGGGCTCTAGGCTAGCCAAGCTGTTGCATACCTTGTTCAGGTCTGATGCCCCTGCATAAACTTTAGCTTTAACCTAAGTGTGTTCTTGGACTTGAAAGCTGGGGGTGGAGTCTGTGTGCGTGAGTGCGCGCGTGCATGCTAATGAGATGCCTATTTCTACCCTATATATAATTTCTGTGGCTGCTCTACTGTGACTCCCATTGTGTCCTGAATAGATTGCTGTCTCTCTCAAGGCAGTGAAATATCCCTTATTTTAAGATATTCATGAAAAGCAAATATACTGTGGGGGTTGTGCTGGGGGACTTCATTGTACCTGCTGGGACCATCTTGTTGTGAGTGGCTCAGGAATTCATGGCCTCTGTGACAACCATGGATTTATCTAGATTAGAATCTGTCTCTACTCATTCATCAGGGCTCGCTTTGGTTCTGGTTCTGGTAGGATGAGATGGTGGTCATCTAGAGCTGGAGGAACTTTTGTATCGTCCAGTGTCATGGGCAGGTGACTAATTGGGGAAGTTGACTTTCTGGGATTCGCAGTCTCTGTGAGAGTCAGGGGAGATTACAGTGATCCACCCCAGGAAACTGATGGTTTTGGGTGGCTTTCTGATGGCTCTTGGGGATATCCTTGTCAGCTTAGCAGTCAGTTCTGGTCAATTTCTGGAGTGGAGAAATGGCTTGGGTAGTTAGCATGGTAATGCCTAAGCATTCTCTAGCGCAGTCCATTTTTTGGGTGCTGCTGGCAATGAAACAATGGGACATTGAGTAGAGCAACAAAGGCAGAAAGCTCAGGACAAGCCTGAATATGCACTAGAGCTTCTTTGAAAGCCTACTTCAAGGCACAAGGGTGGTGAAGAAATTGAAATTTACCACCACCATTGCATCTGTTCAGAAACACCAGTAGAGCTTTCTCAATTGGGCAGAAGTCTGTATGTTCTGTCCCACAAGAAGAGGAGGACGATTTACTCTGCCATGCCCAGCTTGCACAACACATTGAAGATAAAATACATCATTTCTGTGCTAATTTGGATGTCATAGTGGATGCAAGCCAGGTGGATGCAACTCCTTAATAGATACCTTTCCATTTGTATGATCTGAGGATGTGGACAGAATCCTTGCAGGATCCTCTGTCATTCAGTGGCTATAGTTACATTTCCAGGCTAATAAAAGCAGCAAGGACTGACTGAGTAGGTAAAAGTAATGATGAATGCCTCTTTATGAAATGCATGATTCTGTCTTGCCTAAAGGAGACAGTGGTAAACCCTTTGTTTAAAAAAATCCTCCACGAATTCTGCTGTATTGGATAATATCCAGCAAATCTCAGTTATTGCATTCTTGGGCAAAGTGCTGGAGGAAGTTGTGGCTTCTTAGCTCCAGAGTTTTCTGGATGAGATCCATTTCAATGTGGCTTCCATCCTAGTTATGGAGCGGAGACAGGTGTGAATGATCTACCCTGGACAGGAGATGTGTGTCCCCATTGGTTCTGCTGGATCTCTCATCACTTTAATACTATTGACCAGGGTAACCTTCTGAGGTATCTGGCTGAGCTGAGACTGAAAGGCAGTGTCATACAGTGGTTCTGGTCCTTCTTGAAAGGATAATCTCAGAAGGTGGTACTGTGGGATTATCATTTAATGATGCAGCCATTGGTCTGTGGTGTCCCTTGGGGTTCCATCTTACCCCAGGCTATTTAGCATGTACTTGCTGGAGAGATCGCCCAGAGTCTGGGCTTTCACTGCCATCAAGGACCAGGCTAGCTGAAAACCCACCTTTTCCCATACAAGCCTGCTCAGTTCTTACGCTCTTTCACAAAGAAGAAAGGTGTGTTGATTGTGACCCTAGAAATGGCCTTTTCAGGGCTAGCTCCTTGCCAAGGATAGACAGTTGACTCCCTCTCTGCTGTCCTTCTGGCAGGCAAAGACCACTTGATGCAAGAAAGCCTTTCCCTGTAAGTGGCTCAGGTGGGCTGGATACTGTTTATTCTTTTTAATGTTTGTATTATGTAATTGTTATGTTTTATTGCATTTTAATATACTATTTGCTCATTTTAATCCATTTGAATTGTGCCTGCAAGCTGATCTTTTGGTAGAAAGGCAGGGTACAAATCAGCAGATGACCAGGCTGTCAGGGTTCCAGACTGGGCTAGTGGGCAGCTGTACCCAAATCCAGACTTGGAGAGCATCTTCTGCCAGCTGCAGTTCCTGAAGTGTGTGGCTAGAGCAGAGGTTTGGAGGTACAGGCCAAAGGCTTCAGCTCAAGTCGAAGTCTGAAGTGTCAGGGGGCAGAAGATAGTGATTCTATTGGCAAGGAAGGTCTGCCTATAGCAGGAACGCACCTAGTCCCAGGTTCCAGCCACAACATCCCTGTCGAAATGTATTTGAGAATCATGAAAGTTTTATTGTTAAGACAATGGGTGAGAGCTCTGGCTAAGGCAATGCCCCACATAAGGACACATGTAGAGACACTCATGACTGGAATGTCACATGTGTGTAAAAATACTCCTCTTTCCCATTCTACCTGAATTAACAACATCCATAAATAGGCTCAAACAATCTTTTTAGAGTCTTCTATGAAAGCAACCTCAGGTGCTGAGCCTTTGTTTCAGCCATTCCCTTCTGCCCTGAAAGTATACTCCGCTATTTTGATTAGTAGCAGTATTAATAATAATCCGGTGCCACTGGGGTGTAAATTCCTGCCTTGAGGAGATTACAATCTACGGTGTAGCACAGGAAATGACAGGGGGCTGGGAGGGAAAGAGAAGCAGCAGCAAAGGAGGAAGTGGCACACAGCTGTTCCAGCTGCACATGCTTCGCGGAAAAGATGGATTCAGATAGCAAAATCATTTCAAGCTTCGTTTATTATTTTATGCTGCTTTTCCACCACAGTATGCGACATGTCATTCAAAATAGAAGACACAAATATTGAAATAAAATAGCTCCCTGGTTTTAAACAGATCGATGAGTAACAATAAAATTAATCCTCAAGTGGTGTCGAAGTCCTCTGCTAAGTGACCCAGCTAGACCTCTGCTAAGTGAGCCAACTTCTATCAGCCTTTGACTAAGTTCTGTGATAAAAAAAATTCTGAGCTGCTTGAATGGGAGTGAGTCTAACTGTTTTTACAGCCAAGCCTGTGTGTATTTTTCCATGCTGGTTATATTCTGAGCTGCTGTTTGGAGGAAAATGAAATGGTTTTCTTTTGCTAATGGGTCTTAAGCGCCTGCCAAAATTATATATTGAAAGGAAGAAAGCAGTCTGTTTCCTGCTTGGCATTTACTTCTCTGACCATGGCCTGCATTTCCAAAGAAAAGTGGTCTTTCATAATTTATATATGTTTATATTCTGCTTGTGTGTACATATACAGTACATAATGTGAACAGTACAGTGTTGAGATCCATAGGTCATATCTCACTAGATATGTCAAATAGTTGTGAAGTCACATTGTTTAATAAGCTATTGAACACGTGTCAGAGTTTCACGGTGTACTCGCAAATGCAGGTGGAGAGATACTTGTCCGAAGGAGCATTTATGAGAAAGTTCTTGATTTTGATAGTACCCTTGAGATATTTGTGCATTATGCTTACCATTGTACCCATGGCAAAAACCCTCTCCAGTCAACAACATGTAATTTGTTGAAAATATGCAAAGTTTAATATTTCAACTTGAAATCTATAGTTTTGTGGGGTTTAAACTCTGTTGAGCCTTCCCCAACCTGGACAGCCGTTCTCATAATTCCCAGCCAGCATGACCAGTCTGACACCTTCCAGACTTGTGGGACTACAACTCCCATAATTTCCAAGCAGCATGGGCTCACAGTATGATAAACTTCCCAATTATAAGAGTCGTAAATCAATACATCTGGAGAACATAAAGTTGGAAAAGACTGGTTTTGATTGTCAGTTTGCAGCCTCACCTAAAACATCAGATTTTAATTTCATTTCCAGTTTCATGGTTAAACCACTGTGTGCACATAGACAGCTGCTGGAAAGTACCACTATATACATCTATTCTGCCAACTTTTGAAAGCCATGTGAAGCCAAACAAATTATTGATTATTTTCTGATTATGGATGTCCAAGCTCTGACCATTGTTCCTCTTTTTCTTTTCCTGTGTTTGAGGACAGCAGTTTCATGGTGGCAGTCCCTCGAATGTGAAACATCAGCTCTTGAAAGTGGTGCAGCGCATATTCCAGTACCACGTGCTACTCACAGGTCAGCAAGCCATAAAATACCATAATAAGAGAGCCCTCATTTGCCTGTGTCTGTGATTATGTCTGTGTCAATGGTACTTTACTGGTGCATCATCTTTTATGTTACAAATCGCAAGTGGGTCCGCCTCCTGCCGCAGCCTTTAAGATTGCTTGCACTACTTTCATTTTCATCTTTAAAAGATTTGTTCAGAAGAAAAGGAGGATGAGAATAAGTTGGATGGTCAGAGAGAACAAAGAGAAATGGAGGGGTGAAACCATGGTGGATGAGGGAAGAGGGAAATGGTAAAAAAAAATCAAGTGGAAATGAGTCCCATAGAGTGGATTAGGATTAAAGGTGGTCTTGTGTGTCCAGAAATGATGAAGACTAATGTTGGTTGTTATGCCAATCACAGAATTAGGCAAAGCAGAAATGGAATAGAATCATCAATATGTATAATTGAATTGCTCTTTCAAATGTAATAGAGCAAAACAAACTGATGGCATGCATTGTCTTTGCCACACATTTTTATGATATGGACTAACAATATTGGGTACTCTAGGCAGGGTAGAAAGTAGATCTTCAGATGTTTTGGACATAAACTCTCAGCATTCCTAACTACTGGCTAAGCTGTCAGGGGCTTCCAGGATGGTGAGGAAGGAAGCAGGGAGGAAGGTGAAATGAATTGTGTACTGTTTTTACTGTATTTTGTTTTATTTGTGGTTTGTATGAACTGCCCAGAGAGGCTTTGGCTATTGTGCAGGATGATGATGATGATGATGGTGATGGTGATGGTGATGGTGATGGTGATGATGGGAGACAGAGAGAAGGAAGTTATAAACCCCACCCACATTCTGCACCAGATAGAAGCCTAAAAAACTTAGAGATAACATAAGCAATAGACTAGAACAAAGTAAACGTCATACTGCACTGACTGTCATTTTCATCCTGGTCCAAGAACACTGACTGAAAATCAAAAGGAAGACATTTTTCACAGCTGTTTCTGATCTTTTAAGCTGCAGCAGCACAAGCTAGTACCAGAAACCTATGCAAGGTTTTGTGGCATATTTGGTTTCCTCCATAGGCGGTTAGGCCAGTGGGTGTATTGTTTTTATAAAAAGTGTTTTTTATACAAGTGTTTTTATAAAAAGCAGCTGTAATGCAGGTGTAATACTATAATGACTGTCATGCAGCCAGAAGCTGATGGTCGTCTTAGCACATTTTCTTATGACTTGCTGGAATGGAAACACATGCGAAGGGAGGAGGAGCTATTAAAGGTTGGTCTCTCAGCCAAGCGAATTGAGTGGGCGTGCTTCCAATCTCTCCCTGGTGAAAGGGCTGCTGAGATGGAGAAGCTGGTGGAGCAGGGTTCTCCACAGGCCAGAGAGTGGCCCTGCTGGGGCTTGATGCTCTCCTCCAGAAAATCCCATCCTGTATTCAGCTGTTGGTACCCTGTTTTCTCATTTCCCATCTTAGGAAATGGTGTTCCTCGCTAGCAGGACTTAAGTGGTAGCAGATGTTTGGCATTTGATTTAGATCATCATCCTGTGTAACATTGTACATGGTGTAGAGAAAGTGGATGAAGAGAAGCCAGCAGGTTCCTCTAATGGAACTGTGGGCAGGATGGTCATGCAATGATGAACTTCTTTACATAACATAGTGTAAAACCATGGAATCTGCGTATAGAATATGCAATCGTAACTACCTGCTGTATACTAACTACTAGTATATAAAGCATCTATATACTGCCCCCAGAATCAGAAACAACACACTTCCCAATACCAGGTGCTGGGGAGTATGAACAGGTGGGAGCCATTGTACTCATGCTTGGCTTGTGGTTTCTCATAGGCATCTGGTTGGCCCCTGTGGGGATCAATGTGCTGAATTTGACAGATCTTACCTGATCTGGCAGGGCTCTCCTTATGTGCTATCATGGGATCCATTCTTCCATCTGGACACATGGTCTGAATATGCTGATCATAAATAGCGTCAGTCTACCCTCAGTGGTTTGCCATGAGGAGCAGCTAGTGATGGATATATGAGGATGGCTTGCCAGTCACAAGTTTTCACCCATGAGTTCCTTCAGTTTGGCAGAAAATATGTTTGCTTGGGCTGGAATGAAGCAGCACGTGCATTCTAAACTGAAGGTTTGGTTAAACTTTGCGTCAACTGCATAGCATTTAGGTGAATCTAACAGTTTTCTTTATTTCAGTGTAACTGTGCACAGTCCCAGTTCAGACAATGCCCAGCATGCAGAGACAACAGGTTAAATATTCCCTTCCTATCCCACCCTTTTTCCTTCCCAATATTCCACCCCCAAAACTGCAATTGAAGAAAAGGCGGAATGTGCAATGACTCCAATCAGGCTTCCCCATATTTTACATGGCCACAAGTGTAAAGCAGTTGCAATCAGCATGAGCAGGGGGAAAGAGGGCAGCTTCTACTGTGAAGGGCACTGGGATACATGCTGGAGCTGGCCGGAGGACTGAGGGGAAAGGAGCAGGGGAACAACCAGTGGAAAGCCAGATCATCTGCCAGGCACACTGTGGGTTATTCAGTGAACAACCAACCCACCACAGCTTATTCAAAGGGTGGCTTAGCAAGATGTGCAAACCCACCCAGGTAGGTCCTTGGGTCTTTTATTTTTTCTGAATTTATCATGAATGGAGATGATCCATTGATAGCCCCAGTTGGAAGCCCTGCCAAATTGTAATTAAGATAGGGTACAAAGCTTGCTAACAATTTCTCTCCTTAGGAAAAGAAAGGAGGAAAAACTGTTGAGCTGAGATACACTGGCAGACCTGGCACAAATTATTTTGCTGCCTGAGGCAGAGGACTCCCTTCCCTGGGCCATGGTTGGCTAAACTTCATTGGCATCCAAAGCAGCAATTCTCCCTGGGAATAAAAAAAACATAACTGCAACTTGTCCCTGACTTCCAGGGCCCACTCAGTGAGTCCTAAGCTATAGGACAAGTGACAGAAGCTTATGCTAAGTTTTTATAGAAATATTTTATTGCATTAATATTTATCTTAAATATACAATTATTTAATTTTTCTCCCACTTCAAAATACATCCTTTGAGATATCTGCTTTATGCTCTTGTGCACTGATCCTGCCCTCTCCCACTGCAGCCCACATGAAACCTTGGGCTCCTTTCTCGCAGAACAGCTGTTTGTGACTTCAAGACTGTGATCCTACACCCACTTGCCTGAGAATAAGCCCCATTAAGCTCAGTAAGACTTCCTTCTGAGTAGATGTCTATAAGCCTGTGTTAGCTATGGCGTGAGTTCTCAGGTAATGCTTGGACTTTGGTAGGAGACCTGCATAAGCTTCTTTGCAAAGCGTGCACAAATTACATGGCGGAGAGGGTGAGATTCTTTAGCAGAAACTTCATATTGCCATTGCATCAAATGTGCAGTTCATGAATCATTTCAACGTAGAGGAACATACATACCACCGGAAAGCTGAATCCCAATTGCTGGGAAAAGGATCAAAGTACAAGTGGGGTGAAAAAAGAGGGGAAAGCTAGCACCTCTTTTGTTGTTGTTCAGTTGCAAAGTCGTGTCCGACCCATTGCGACCCCATGGACAACATTCCTCCAGGCCTTCCTGTCCTCCACCAGCCCCCTGAGTCCACTTAAGCTCACACCAACTGCTTCAGTGACTCCATCCAGCCACCTCATCCTCTGCCGTCCCCTTCTTCTTTTGCCACCTGTTGTTCCCAGCATGAGGCTCTTCTCCAGGGAGTCCTTCCTTCTCATTAGGTGGC